GCAGCCCCCCGAGCCCGGCCCGGGCCTGGCCCACGGCTCCCCGCCGTCCTCCAGCCCCGAGAACCTGGTGGACCACATCCTGGAGTCCGCGGACTCGGACTCCGAGGGCATCTTCATTGACTTCGGCCGACGCGGCGGCTCCGGCGCCTCGCAGTTTGAGGGGCCCGGGGGCCGGCAGAGCATCGTGTGAGGGCCCCGCGTTCCCGCCGAGCCCGCGAGTGCGCCTGCGTGGTGCGCGCGTGTGAGTTTTTTACGCTGCCCAGTCCAGTCCCGGCTCAGCCCTGGCCACTTGGGCGTTGCTCTCTCCATTGGAAAAACCATGGACGCCCCGGCCTCAGCACCACTCCGTTCTGGGGCGCCTGCATCGGCGGCTCCGCCTGCCTCGCACAGATGGCCAGGCGCACCGGTCAACCTCATGTGCGTGGGGCGGGCACCAGCGCCCGCCCACGCCCACACCCATAGAGACTGTGACTCCAGTGGCACAGCCAGGCCCCCAGAATGACCCCCACAGCAACGGGGGTGGGTAGCAGACCCATCCATCCCCCTCCCCATGTACCTCAGGCCACAGCATGACCTGCAGGTGACTGTCCCAGACCCCCGAGCAGCCTGCTCTCACTGCCGGGGTGACCGTGGACAGGGAGAGGGTGGAATGTGGAATAAAACTTGCCTACCCGCTCCTGGGCTCGCTTCATGCCCCGCCCTCAGCCTGAGATGCCTGGCCTCCCTGGGGCCTCCCTTCCCCACTCCTGGGGGGACAGCTTCCTGTTATTTAGTTTCTCTGTCCCATCCTGACAGAGGGCGGGGGATCCCAAAGGGAGACGGCGGAAAACCCAACAGCCTCTCAGACGCCGCTGGGACCCTAAGGGGTGGGGGCTGGGTTCAGATCACTGGCCCTGTGCATGGGGGTCCGGCCCCTGCCTCCTCCCCAGCATGAGCACTGGAGCCTGGAAAGGAGGCAGGACTTGCCGGATGCCCCACTGCCAAACTGCTGGCGAGGGGGGCGTGACACCTGCTCTTCCCACCCCTGCAGCTGCGTGACCCCCAGACAGGTTGTACCCGCCAGCTCCGGACTCCAGTTCCTGACCCTTGCGGTCGGAAGGCTCACCGGCTTGTCCCCGTGGTGGCATTGGTGCATTTGCAAAGATCTGGGCTACTCGGCCTCATCCCTCAGACACACACACTCAGGTTCTGGCACACACACGTGCTCAGCCCTGGGAACGCAGCCTCCCTGCCGCATCCCCGGCGTGTGTCCTCCACAAGAGTCACGAATCTTCTTGCCGCCTCCCGTCCCCCCAGGGGGCCCTCCTGTAACGTCATCTGACCGCAGGTCGTCTGAAGCGCTGCCTGGTTTTCTGTAGCCCGTGGTCTGCTCAGGGCTGTGACACTGCAGCTCAGGGGACTCACACAAGTGTGCATCACACAGTCCTGGAGGCTGGGAGCCCGAGGCCGCGTGCCAGTGTGGCGGGTTCTGGTGAGGGCCCTCTTCGTGGTGCGCAGGTGCCATCTTCTCACGTGTCCTTATGTAGTGGACAGAGAGCCCCCCTCACGTCTCACAGGACACTAATCCTGGGGGTCCAGGGCCCCACCCCTGGGACCTCATTTAACCGTAGTTCCTTAGAGACCCCGTCTCCAAATACAGTCACGCTGGGGACCAGGGCTTCAACACAGGCATTTGAGGGGACACAATTCACTCCATCACACGTGAGTGAGTGACGGGCCCATTCCGAAAGCCAGGGGGTCGCCATGGGGGCAGGACCCCACTGTGACAGGGTCTGCCGGAGAGGTGATGTTGAGAAAAACTAGCCTTCTGAGCACCCTTGACTGCACCTTTTCTGAGAGTTAGCATCCATTTAGGGGTTCGTGTGTGCACTCTGCGACAGTCGCCCACTGGCAGGAGGCCCCAGGGGGATGCCCTTGGGCCCCGGGATGTCCCCTGGAGCACCTACTTTGCTCCTTCTGCTGTCAGTCTCTAAAAGGACCTACTCTGGCCTTCTGGAAGGTGCCACTGGGCGGTCCGTGGCTCAGGAACCACAGGAGGAAGGAGACCATGTGCTCTTTATGGGGTGGCGGGGAGGGACGAGGGTTCCCACCAGGTGAAGGAGCTGCCCACGGCAGAGGAAGCCCCACTCCCAGAAGGAAAGGAAGGCTCCATATAAGAGAAAGGCTAGGAAGGAGGTGTCCTCTAAGGTTTTGACTTATTCGTGATTTTCCATTTGACCATGAAAGTAATAGCCTATAGTTTAAAAAAGACCTCTGGGTATACACCCCAAAAGACATGAAAGCAGAGACTCGAAGAGATATGTGCTCACTCACGTTCATAGCAGCTCTGTTCATAAGAGCCAAAAGGTGGAAGCAACCCAGGTGTCAATCAACAGGTGAATGGGTAAGCAAAACGTGGTCTGTACATGCAACGGAATATGATTCAGCCTAAACAGGGAAGGAAATTCTGACACGACAGCATGATGAACCTTGAGGATGTTCTGCTCAGCGAAATAGGCCGGACACAAAAGGACAGATTGTGATTCCACTTAGATGAGGAACCCGGCATAGCCAAATTCACAGACGGCTCCGCAGCACTCCCCGTGGGGTTTGTGGAGTGCCTGTCGCGGGGTCCTCCTAGCATCCCAGTGTGGGAACCGTGGCCCTGAGCTCCGGGAGTGTTCAGCAGTGAAGTGGGCAGTAACCTCAGGAATTCTGGGAGAAGGGGGAGGCCGCTGGGCAGAGCAGTCTCTGCCAGGGATGCGGTGGCACAGACCAAAGCCCCTAAATCGGAAGGCCCTCTGCTCCCTGCCTCAAGCACATGGAAGGCCCGCACTTCCCGGTCCCCTTGTGGCTGGCTGATGGGCACTGTGCCCTGCTTTGGCCAGTGAGCTCTGAGCAGAAGGGACTTGGGGCCCTTTGGAGCTGGAGTGCTTCATGCCCAGGGGGAGACCCTCCAGGGCGACCAGCAGTATTCCTGATGGGTCTGCTCCAACTGGTGGGGCGTCGGGGGTCTGCGGACATACAGCATGAATGAGAGGAGATCTCAGGCAGTGTAAGCCCCTGAGACTGGGGGCTGTTTGTTACTGGAGCAAAACCTGGCTTGACCTGACTAACACACTCCTCCCCCGAATACTCTGGTGGAATCGCGTTTTGCGTGTTTATGCGTGTTGCGTCCTGACAGGCACAGCCAGGCCCCTGGGTTCACATCCTGAATTGGTCACGACCTTGCTTTGTGATATTGGGCGAGTCACCCCATGTTCAGTTTCCCCATTTGTAGGAAGGATCTTTCCAGATATAAAATTCTGATATTTCTCTGCTTGTCTGTGCGCTATGGACACACAGCAGGGCCAGCTGTAGGACTGTATACTCCAGGTAAATAGCTCTGCCCAGATGACAGTGTATTGGCCAGACAGGTACTTAATGAGTTTTGACCTGAAGGTGATAATGGCTTAAGATGAACCGATGGCTTCACCCCCAGGAAGTCTCATTGAATGATGTGTTTGCTCAGAACTGCTTTACCAGGCTGTTAAAAGCTATAAAAATGTAAACTATCATCTGACATCATCATGAGAAGAATTTCTCATGCTGACATTCCGTTTTTTTGCTTTGGGGATTTATGTCAGCCTGGGTTGGGCAGGGGAGGAGGGACAGGGTGGCATAGAAAAGAGGGTGCGGGATCAGGCAGGGCTGTCATCTGAAAGCCATGGAAGCAGATTCTGGCTGACCACACAGAGGAGTTTATTAAAGGAGGCTTGGAACTCAGAGTTGTCAGGAGGTGGCAGAGCCAAGCCAGAGACTTACCTGCCAGGAACAATACCTCAGCCCACGCCACCAGACGGGCCTGATGGGAAAACAAACTTCCTTCGCACATGGGTGCTCCCACCACGGAGATGCTCCAGGGGCACTGGACCAAACCCACGACTGCCACCAACACCAATAGCAGGTGCATCCCAGGCCCTTGACCTTGTAGCCACAGCAGCCTGCACACCGCACCCCCCAACCTCCCGCTCCCGAATTACACATCACGCAGCCGCCCCTGTCCAGCATAATAAATTCCAGGGCCACCTCCTCTCTTTGGGCATTTGTCACAACGGTAGAGGCTGAGGCACTGTCTGGGCCCCGGTTGCAAAGGAGGCTGAGTAAGCCCATTACCTGACTACCTGGGGCCCAGACACTAGTAAGAAAGGCATTTGAAAGGTGCGAGGGGCCAGAGTACAGAACCAGCGTCCCACCCTGATGTCAAATGGGGCCTCAAGAGTGTCGTCTGCTCGGGTGCAAATCAAAAGGGTTTCAAGAATTAGGTCCAGACAGCCCCAGGAAGCACCGTGCATAGGCACAGGGGTTGGACTCGGTTTGCTCTCCACACGGCCGGGCCCCTGATAGCAGGAGGCCTGGCTGGGGTTCCTGGCCAGGTGCCCACCTCGCAGGGTGCCACCTCAGGTCCCGGCCCGTGAGGGAGGGTTGGGACATGATCTCCTGGACGTCTCTTGGCTCAAGCCGGCTGTCCCACTCACACTCAGCAGGGAAATCTGGGTTTCAATCACGTCTTGGCTCAAACGGCAGGCAGAGTTCATTTGGGAGAAAACAAATGAGAAGCCTAAGACCTGAGACCAGGCATCTGGACCCTTCCCGCAGGCTCTGCATTCCCAGCGCTCGTTAATGTGGCATATGCTGCTTGGGGAGCACCGACTCTCCGTCTTCATAAACATTCATAAGAGCGAACTTAATAAACCCAGGAGTAATACCACTCAGAAGTAATTCCTTCATTTCGCACGATTATTGTCTCTCTCCTATTGCAAAGCATTTGAAACGCAAGGAGGACTTGTCACAGCGACAAAGGAAATGACGAACCGGTGGGTTACTGATGAGACGCGCTTTGGGGGAAAGCGAGAAAGGGAGCCTGCCCGGCTCTGGCCGCTTCTTTCTGTTTCGTTTTTCTTCTCTTAGGAATGGCAGAGCGCGCTGTGCTTTTCCCATCGTTCTGCATTTTTGCTTTACTGTACGCATTGAAATGCCACTAAACTATGGTTGTGGAATTCGTATGCGATTCGCACAGAACACAGAGGCGAGGAGGGTGGCATTCTCCCCAGCATCTGTCAATACCACGAAATGACGCTGCCAGCCAGAGACCAACGGGAGGGCAGAGGTGGGGCGGGGGAGGGGGGCAGGGGGGTTGGTTTCCTCTTACTTCGGTCCAAAGTGCTTTTTAAAACAGAAAACCTGCCAAAAGTCCCTCTTTCTCGAGAGACTGATCTTACACAGATAACAATAATACTAAATAAAAAGATGTTTGTATTCCACAAAAGGGGAAGACGTCCTGGCGGCAAACGCTCGACACAAACCATCGAAGGCGAGAGGCGCTGGGAAGGAGCGTTTCGACCTGGAAGTGGCCCCGTGCGTGACCCAGCGAGAGGCTCGGATTCACACGCGTGTTCGAAGTTAGCACCGCAGTCCTGCGCTTGCTCGCCACGCCCAGTTCTTCGGGAGCGAGGAAGCACTAAGTAATAGTCTGCAGGTGGCCGTGCGCCCGCAGCGCAGGCTGGTCAGGGATTCTCTGCACAGACAGAACACAGGCAGCTGCTCGGTGATGATGGAATGCAGTGCGGGTCATTCATTCATTCACTCATGCATTCATTCACATGGATTGGGACAGTGCCTACAATCTGCTGGGCGCAGAGCCGGGAACCGGGGATACTGCAGTGAGCCAACGGCCTCGTGGCTCTGGCCTTCCATGGAATGGTGACAACTAACGTTGAGTGCACTAACCCGAATCCAGTTGTTTCATGGTTGTCCCTGGCAAAACCAGCGTGAGGCTGACCGTCTTTGGAGAAGATAAAAGTTTTGGTCTGTCTGACTCCCTTCCCCTCCCCGGGATGCGTCTCATGCTCAAACGATCAGGCCTTCTCTGCGTTTTCTTCTGTTAGTACGTCAGAAGAGAAACTCTTTTCCATTTGGTTAAAAGGATGTTTTCTCAGGTGATCCTTTTATGTGTAAGAAATAGAAAGCTCACACTAGATTAAACGAGAAGAGGATTTATTGGTACATCTAATAAGAAAGTCCAGGGGCTCTGAAATGTCACCAAGGACCCAGTTCCCTGCCACCTCTGCTTCTTCCTAAGCCTAGGTCTCCTTGCGGTCACAGGATGGCTGCCCGGTGTCCCTTGTGCACCAGGCTTCCCCATCTAAGAGCAAGATTCTTCCCCAAATTTCCGGGCGAAGTCCAGCACGGCGCGCTCACTGTGGCTCGACGATGGCCTACGTTACTTCCAGAACCTGAACCAATCGCTGTGGCAGAGGGTGACATTGCGAAACTGGCCTCTGCAATCAGACCCCGCCTCTAGAGGGGTCGACTCACCTGACCGGCTACTATAAGTGAATGACTGGCCACTGGGGCCCACAGAGCCCACCGCACATGATCCCAGGGCTGCCAGCAGCCATGCCACCTTCCATCCAAGGCAGCCTGGGATTGTGGCATTGCTGGTGCCCCCTTCCTCAACCTCAGAAGAGCACCTGGGAGAGGAAGCATTGGGAAAGGATCCCCTTGGCTGCCATGGTGACGCAGATTGAAGGGGGTGAGGGCAGAAGCTAGGAGACCCATTAGGGGACACGGAGCCACGTGAAAGATGCTGGTAGCCTGGACCACTAGGGTCAACGTGGGTGGAGAGACGTGGTGGCACTGTGACCCATTTTGAAGGAAGAGCCACAGGGGTGTGAGAGAACCAGGGAAACCAAGATGACCCAACAGTTTGGATGGGGCCAGTGGGGAATGGGGTGGGGAGCCCAGGAGAGGAGCCCCATGTGGTCAGGGGAGCTGGAGCTGCCTGCTAAGGTCTCTACGTGGAGATGTCGGGGAGCAGTGAGAGGCAGGGGCCTGGAGTCAGGAGATGTAACTGGGGAGCGGGGTATAGGCGTATTGAAAGCAGGCGTGAGTGCCGATGAGAGGAGGTGCAGACCCCCAGCCCAGGGCGCGGACCTTCGGACATCGGGGAGGAGCGGGGAGGCAGCTGGGATTCAGTGCCCGGCCTGATACAAACCCATCCCTACAGCTCCAGCTCACTGAGCTGCTCCCAGAGCTGGGACGCGATGGTATCGAAGGACCAGTCATCCTCCTGCCTGGGGGACCAGTCACCTCCAGGGGTATCTGCACTCCGGCCTGGGCCTTCCTGATTGTCTGACCCCTGCCTCGGGGCGGGGACAGTAACTGTGCTAGGTGCAGAAACGCAACGCTCAGCCCTGAGTGACCCTTAGGGGCCCGACGATTGGTCACATACCCCCTCCTCCAGAAGTCCTCCCTGCTCCTCAGCCTGGGTCACGGCCATCTGTGGGATTGCCCAGCCCCTGCCACTGTAGGATTCTGTGCCTGCGAAGTCAGCATCTGGCCCAGAGGATGCTTTGGGGCATTTGTCGAATGAATATTTCCTCGCAATATTTTCTCGCAGATCTCGCCCCCTCCCGCCTCACTTTGCACATTCCTAAAATGGAGAAATGGATCACAGGAAAGTGCCCGCCCCAGGCGTGGGTGCTGTGCCGAAGGCAGACCGCGGGACTCAGGGTGCCTCGGGTGCAAAGTGCGAGAGGCGTCTGAGCTCTCATACTCCAACTCCATCCCCGCCCACAAGGCGGAGCCACCTGTCCCGGCCCCGCCCCGGGCCCCGCGGAGACTTAGCGGGACCCCGGAGCGGCCGGGGCTCCGGGGAAATACGTAGCGAAGGCCGGTCGGGGGCGGAGCGAGGGGCGGGGCCTGCGCGGGAGCTACGTCCGGGGCGGGGCCAGGTGAGTGGACCTCGGAGCTGAGCCCAGGTGAGGCGCCGGCAGGTAAGGCCTGGCGTCCGCGGGAGAAAGCCCACCTGTGCCCGGCAGGGACGCCGCGCGGGTTCCGAGGGTGTAGCCCGGGCCGGACCGGGCCCATTGCTCAGGTGCGCACGCCGAGGCGGGGCGCGGCGCCAGGCGACGCGGTGCAGAGACCAGCGCCCACCCGGGTCCAGAGACCGGGCCGGACCCGGCCCATTGCTCAGGTGCGCACGCCGAGGGGGGGCGCGGCGCCAGGTGACGCGGTGCAGAGACCAGCGCCCACCCAGGTCCCCGCCCGCGGCCCCTGGTTGTCCCAGAGTGCGCTCCCCTCCCCCATCGTTCGCGCCTTTCCTCCCCTTCCTCTCCCACCCCTCCCCCTGCCTGCTCCCTCACTTCTCCCCAGGGGTTTTCGTGTTTGGGTCCGGTCGGCTGGGCTGTCTCAACCCAAACTTTCGCCCCCCGCCCCGTTTTTCCTCCCCTAACTCGGGGTCTCCCATCAGCCAGTTGGCATGCCGCACAGACTCACCAGGTCCCTGTCCCCAAACCCGGGAGGTGGGAGGCGTCGTCCCTTCCACAGAGAAGAAAACAGACCGAGCAGGTGCTGCGCTGGTTGGAAGGCAGGGGCTCCGCGGGGGTGCTGACCGGGTCAACACAGGCGATGGACCCCCCAAGACTTACTAGGCCAAAAACTTAAATGGAGCGGTAATCAGCCTCCACAATCGCCAGTTAGGGGAGAGGCCTTGGTTTCGCTTTTCTCAACCCTGGCAGGGAGCCATCGTGAGAATTCCTTGGAGCCACTGCCGCTTTGCTGGCTTGGGAGTTGCCCCCTGCTGTGGGCTGTGGGAGGTGTAGGCAGGGTGGCCGCTCAGGCCACGGGAGAAGGAACGCGGAATCCTCTACGACGAGGAATTCCTGCCAGCCCTTGTTTGGCGTCTGGGGACATGGAGGGCTGGGGACATGGCCACCAACTTTGTTTTGTGTCAGAGTCTGTGTCGATTCCAGACAGTTGTAGAATGTAGTGTCGACATTTGTCCAGGTGCGAACTTACAATTTAAGACTCAACAGTAAACATCCTTGGCGCTGTGTTGGCAGTTGTGGGATCTTGTTTGTGAGTTTCTCCTTCAATGCAGTGACAAACCATTCCTCAACCCAGCAGCGGGGCCGGCGGGTAGGGAGGTGAAGGGGGACACAGGTCACTGGCAGGAGCCCAGCTAGTCCTTGAGGACAGCCACCTCCCCAGCCCCTGCCCACAGGGGACCCAGAGTCTGGTCTCTGTGTGGTAGAGGGAAGCCAGGGACTTGTGAGTGGTCAAGAACTTCCTGAAGGAGGCAGCCATAGAGCTGGAAGATGGATAGGAGGTTGGCAGGGAAGAGTGTGGCACAATGAGGTCCCTTGGAGGCGGGGGCTGGAGGTGGCTGGAGGGAACTCACAGGTTGGGTGGGGTTGGAAATGCCTATGGAGTAACTAACAGGTGGGGCTGATAGCAATGTACTTGGATGCTGTCTTTGAGTCATTCAGGTGCGATCTTAAGGTCTGAAGGCTTACGTGGACGCGTGGCCTCTCCCTAACAGGCGCGTTCCAGGCCAAGGGCACGCCCCCCGGTCGCAGGCTCTCCATCCATGGGGACTTCTGTTAAACAAAGGACAGCAAGAGCTCAGGCCGCCCTGGAGGTCCCGGATGTGCGTACCTTGTACCACATCTAAAAATCCATGCCATTGCCGGATTGTACCCTCCTTCACTGCCGGGGATACTGAGGCAGCAGGCGGCTGAGAAGGAGGCGAGGCGGTCGGAGACCGAGTGTTTGAGCAGGTCACTTCCACTGAGGGGGACTCAGCCTCCTGACCCATAGCGTGACCCTCATGGCCATCTTTCCACAGAATCGTCACTGTGACTCGTGGCCGTCGAGCCCGTGCTGCACACTTGATATCCTCAGTTCTCCCTCGCACCGGCCTCACGAGGCAGAGGCTGCTACTGCCCCCTTTTACAGATGAAGAAACTGAGGCAGGGAGGTTTAGGTGACTTTCCGAGGTCACACGGCCAGTGAGTGGAGAGCCAGGACCTGAAGCCAGCCATGCTGCAGCTGCACCATCCGAGCCTCCCCCGCCCCGGGCTGTGCCACCTCGCAGGGCGCTGAGGTCCGCCTTCCGGGGGAGACATTCAGAGACTGCCAGTGACCGCCCTTCAGCTGTGCGGATGAGCACGGGTGTATAAAAGTGATACCTTCTGTTCGTTTTCAGATAAATGACTTAACTTTTTCCTCAACCCTTTGATTAAAACTGATGCTCAGTGAAGATGTGCCAAGTGCATCTAGAGGTCCTGGGCCTCCCGGGGTAGCTTTATGGGCCCGGCTCTATGGGCACAGGGGCGGCCTCAAAGATGCCCTTGGGAGTGGCGCTCAGTGCAGGCGAGCATGCTGCCCATCCCCAGTGAGCTTTGTGTGCAGGCCCCAGAGCTCATGGCGGCCGGAGGTGCCACTGCCCAGGCGTCTGTGTCCCTGGAAGGCTGGAAACCGGGCAGAGGATGCTCCCCAAGTTACTTCTCGAGGTCCCGTTTTCTCGCCTCCCACACGGGCATCATAAACAGCAGGTTTTCATGGGGCTCAGATGGAATAATGTCGGGGTGCGGTAGATAGCCGCCGGCACTGTGACCTCGAGTTGCCAACCAGAGGCGCGAGCTACTCCGAGCCTTGGTTTCCCCATCTGTGATACAGACAATGCCTAGGGCAATGGGGAAAATCAAATGAGTTAATTTGTGCCAAGTGCCTAAAACGGGCGTGGCAGCTTGATGCATGTTTGCGTTTATTGGTGTTAGTTCCGCCCCCGAGGGCAGAAGATCTTACAGAGACTCGTGTGGAATGAGCTCGGTGGCACCTGTTTCTGCCCAGGCTGAGGGCCAAGTGGTTTTGTCCTCGGTGACCGGGGACAGAGCAGGGCAGTGAGTAAGTTCATTTTCCGTGGAAGCCTGTGACTTACTGTCCATCAGAAGGAACTGGTTTGGCAGGTCAGGAGTCCTGGGGCCTGGCCCCCCTCCCCCACCTGGTCTTAAAATTAAAACAAGCAGAGGAGACGCTGCTGGCCTGGCCAGCTGGGGGCTGGCGTGTTTGTCCTCATCGGGGACACTTGGGGTGGTCGAAGCCAATGAGGCTCACCCCCACCCGCTCAGCCCAGACCCCCAACCCTCTCACAGTGGCCAGCACAGGGCCTGGCGGCTAACACTGCAGAGGGACAGAGGCGTCTCTGGATGGGGGCACAGGGGAATCAGAACCAGGTCCCTGGTTTGGGGGGTACAGAGAGGCCTGGCCTTCCCCTGGGACCTGGGGCGCCTTTCTCTCCGGCCACATTAAGGGAAAGTATTTGACCTGGCTAAACTGTAACCCGATTTTTCTGTAAAGAGGCCTCTGAAGGTGGAGGGTGGGTTTTGGGGGGCCCTGTGGACCCCACTTCAGTTTCCAAGGAGGCCAGTGAGGAGGTAGACTTGAATTCAGACTACATGATTGCATTGGACTTGAACCAATGATTATAACAGAAACCGCGTGCGCATCACTTACTCGCTGCAGGAGCAGGTGTTCCAGGGAGAGGACACAGACAGCATGTGCAAAGGCCCTGAGGCAGACACAGCTGCGTCTGGGGAGCAAGCTGGAGGCCTGTGTGGCTGGAGCAGAGAGGAGACGAGTGGAGGCGGCGTGAGTCCTGGAGAGGGGCAGGGCCAGGCCGCCACGTTTGCGGGGGTTCGTAGGAGTTTGATTTGTATCCCAACCACTGTAGGGAGCTGTTGGCTCTCTGAGGGTGTCGTGGGAGGTGTGGAGAAGGCTTTGGGGATATTCGAGGGCAGGGTTGGGGGAGGGGGCTGGCCTGAGATCTGGGTTCGGGGTGGAGAGCGTGGGATTTATATCCCTCAGGGAGGAGAGGAGAGGGCTCAGTGTCCCCCACCCCGAAAGGTCTGAGTGCGGGTGATGGAGATGGTGGCAGGGGCCCCAACGGCGTCATCTTCAGGGAAATTGCCACACGCCGATTGGCTCGGCTTGGCTTCCCCAGCAAAGCTTGGAAGAAGAGCATGGGATTTCTGTAGGCGATTATTAGAGCCCTGGGAGCAGCTAGGGGGCTGTGCAGGAGTGGGGTGCACACCTGAGTGAGCGCCTGGGCCCTTGGGCAGGGCAACAGGGAAGCAGGGGAGGGAGAAGCCTCGTGTGCCCACAAGGCTATGGGCGTAGCCCTGAGTCTTAACGTTGGCGTCTGCAAGAGCCACGGGGGCGGGTGACCCCAGCAGCTCCTCACAGGTCCCATCGTCCCTTCAGAGTGCTAAGGTTTCCTGGGACTTGTGGGCAGGCCTCTGGCAAGGTCACATAGCAGGTCACAGCATGTTTGGGCCTTGCTGCTGCCACCTGGGGTGTCTCACCCAGGTGTCATGCCCAATTCCAGTGGCTTCTGGCTCCACTACCCGGCCGAACAGTCTGCATCTGCCTCTCTGCAGTGTCAGGGACCGGTGGTGTTTGCGATGCAGAGTGGGTAGTGGGAGTCTGTATCAATTAATTTATGAGAGCTGAGACAAAGGGGTGAAAATGACTCTCTGTGGGGTGCCACTAGGAGACCCTGGAATCCCAACTCGGTGGTGACCCCTTTCTCAGCCATGAGCAAGTGGTCCCACCCCTGCCACCCAGACTTGGCACCCTGTGCCAGCCCCTTTGTCTCTAGATCTTGGTACCCACCCCCCGGGAAACACGGGGGTGGGCCTGGATGGCGGGGGTGCCCCCCTCTTTTCAGAACGCCCCGTTCCCAGACGAGAACCAGGTTGTGCCAGCGCCATGGGGAGCCCTTCCCTGTACGCCTGTGCATCCACCCTGGCACGCAAATGAAATTGGGTGCTAATTTGTAAGTAGGTGTTAATTTGTAAGTAGGTGTTGATTTGTAGCTACAGCATTAAGGTAATTGCTGTGAGGGTCTATTTGTATAATGCGCAAATATATTTTTATAGCAACAAACCATTTTGCTATGAGCGATAAGTGGAATAGTTGGGTGACTAGAAAT